GGAAGACAGGAGCAGAAGCAGAGAGCATTTAGGCTTTTGCAGTAATCCAAAGGAGAGAGGATAACAGTACCACCAGAGTAGTTCCAGTACAAGAGTAAGAAGTGGTCAGATTCTAGATGTATCTTAAAAGTTGAAAGTATTTGCAGATCACTTGGTTGTATCAAGAGAGAAAAAGAAGACTGGTTTGAAGCTTGAGCAACTGGAAGGACAGAATTGTCATTTATCAGGATGGGAGTGACTGAAGAACAAGATTTTTTTGGGAGAGAGGATACATGGGGAGACTGGAAGTTCAGTTTTGGACATTTTTTGACATACCTATTAGTCATCCAAAGTGCAAATGTTGAACAAGTCCGTTGGATATAGAAGTTCAGCTTATGCAGGGGAAAGTTCAGGCTAGAGATACAAATTTGGGAGTCCTCAGCATATAAATAGCATTTAAGGTCACGAGGCTGGATGAGATCATCAAGGGAATTCGTGCAGACTGTAGATGAAGAAATGGTCCAGGGCATGCTGATGTTAAGAAGCCAGGAAGTAGGAACCCATTAAAGAGACTGAGAAGGGCCAGTGAAATAGGAAAACAGTGAAAATGAGGTGTTCTGGAAGTCAGGTGAAGAAAAGTGTTTTCAGGAGGAGGAAGTGATCAACTGTGGCATGATGCTTATAGGTTAAGTAATATGAATACCTAGAATAACCTTTGTATTTTGCAGTGCTGTGGCCATCAGTGACCTTAACAAGAGAGTCAGTGGAATGAGAAGGGCAAGGAAAAGGAAGAAAGGAATTGGAGGCAGAGAGCATAGGAAACGATTACTTCCCTTCGTTTAACAATCACTTTTGAATAACAAAATAGCGAATATAGCTAGATATTTTAAGTAAATATAATTAAGATTATTAAGACGTGTTTCACAGATGCTAAATAAGGTGTGTACTAATATGAATACACTTCAGGTATGTTAATTACAGATTACATATGGTCTAGTGTAAAACAACAGAGACTGTTTATCAAGTCAAAGAAGTTCCTAGTTTTTCTAAATTCTCCATTCTTAATTAACGTTTTATTGTTTTTTTTAAGTGCCTTGATTATTTTCTATTTTTTTTCTGCATTAATTGAAATGGCCCTAAGATTTATCTCTTTTATTTGTGTTAGATTACAATAATAGATTTTGTAATATTGTAATACAAATAGATTGTAATCATTCTTAAGATATATCCTACTTGGTCACATAGCATTTTATTATTATGTTACTATTTTTCGTTTTGTGCTTTTTAAAAATACATTAATTCATTATACTTTTGGTTTTTTTAGTCTATATTTTATGATAAGATTGATTTTTAATTGTCTTTTATCGTCATTGTCCAGTTTTGGTGTCAAGGTTTTATTTGCCTGATAATATGAATAGTTTTAAATAGTTGACATTGTTTTCTTAGCATTTGAAAAGATCCTTGAAGATTTAAGAAAACAAGTTTTGAACGCAACTGGGTTTGGTATCTCTTTTAAGAGGATACTTAATTACCACTTAATTTCTTTGATAGTTATTGGCTTATACAGCTCTTCCTTTTTTATCCACTTTTAGAATTCATTTATTTTCTGGGAAATTATTCATTTATCTGTTTTCAAATGTATACACACAAAGAACTTTATTGTGATTTTTTAAAATCTGTATTATATCTGTAGTTATACCACCTTTTTCATTTCTAATATTCTTTTGAAAAGAACCAACTTTTTTTTTTTTTGAAAATTTTATTTTTGAGAAAGAGAGAGAGAGAGAGACAAAGCACAAATGGGGGAGGGGCAGAGAGAGAAGGAGACACAGAATCCGAAGCAGGCTCCAGGCTCTGAGCTGTCAGCACAGAGCCTGATGCAGGGCTCCAACTCACAAACTGTGAGATCATGACCTGAGCCAAAGTCAGGCACTCAACCGACTGAGCCACCCAGGTGCCCCGAAAAGAACCCACTTTTTATTTTGTTGATCTTCTCTAGTTTCTTTACCAATTTCACTGAAACCACTTTATTTTGTTTCTTCTACTTCCTTTAGGTTTACTCTCTACTCAAGTTGAAATGCTTCATACTGCATTTCACAGGACCTATAATGTCAGTCTTTCCTACTATTAATGATGTTAAGTTTGATAATTTTGGTTACAGTAATAATTGCTAGTTCTCCATACATAAAGGGACCTTATTCCCTTTGCAGTTACTAAGTAATCAGTAGGGTAGTACTTCAGTACTGTGTTACCCAACATCATTTCACCTAATACATTTAACAACCGTTGATGATCTTTACCCTGATCAGTTGTTTCACTGGGGTTGCTAATGATTTTCCTAATTCTATTATTTCTACATTTATTAGCTGATATTATTTTGTAAAGAAGCGTTTTCTTTTTTGTTGAACTCTTTTTTCACTTTAGTGTGTTTGGGGAGTTTTATTTTGGTTTGGTTTTTCAACTTACTTTGAATTTTTATATTTTTCAGGGTAATATCAGTTTTAATCATTATTTTTTTGATGCTCAAATTGTCCCAGATGTAGGAACCTCTATAGACGAGCCCTTTTAATGCAGCTCCATTAATCTTTGGGCATTTCCTTGCTTTCTGACTAGCCTATTTTTTACTCTCTTGCCCTGGACTCGGAATTAGCCATTTATTAATGGTACCATCTTGACTAAAAGCTGTCCAGTATTTTTCTACTGTGTGATTTTTTGGTCTTTAGAATTACGCATTTTTTGCCATAATGAAGTTCATATATTCCATCCTCCTGTTTCATAAGTTTCATTGTTAAAATGGTTTTATTCTAGGCTACCTGGAAGGTAAAGAGTGCTTTTTTCCACTAATGGAGTCTCTCTTGATATCTCTTGATACTGTATATGTAACCTTAAAATTTTAAGTTAAAGCTATCCTCACCTCAGCTCCATTAGGTAGTATATATGCCCTTCAGACCAGTAGACTATTAACATATTAAGATACTTGGCTGTAATGGGTAGGTTTAGCTGTGTAACCTAATGCTAATGCTAAGTGGCATTGAAATGAAAGCTTAAAACACCCAATGGGTATTGTTGGGACAGAACTAAAACCAAGAACAACTTGGAATACTTTATGAATGTTGTAGAAAACCTCAATTTTTTCTGGGAGTAATTCTTCTTAAGGAATTATTTACAAAGCTCTGAATTCTTCCAAATTAAGGCTTTTAAAAATCATACTGCTTTCAGGGTTATTTTGGTTCAGATAAGCTTGGTATATTTGGATTTTTGACACAGGAAAAGGTTAATCAAGAATAAAATTGACTAAGAGAACAGGTAGTATACCCAGTTCTGTGCCTTTAGCCCTGTGTTGGCCATGGCTCTATAAGAATGGGTATTAAGAAAAAGAAGAATGGTTATTTAAAAGGAGATGCAGAATGTGCTAGAAACTGCAAGATAGAAAGAGGTACTCCTCATAGCTATCCTAACTCTACTTCATAGCTACTCTACTTGAGAAGGTCCGATGAAATTACAGAATAAATAAGCAATATATCTGGAAATGAAAAAACAGCTCCTATCGCTAAGTTAGTTTGAAGATAGATTTCTAATGATCTCCTGATTTGTGTTTTAGATGATAATAGGAAATTACTAATACTGATATTTCACCTCACTACTCTAAAGATCAGCTCTAGATTTTGTGTAAATGCTAAAAAATAAATGAAAAATAAACATGAGCCTCCAGTATTTGATTTCAAATAATTATTCAAGCATATTAAGTGTATGATTGAAGTAGAGACTGAATGACATAACAACAATTGTTCCTAATGGGAATCTCATCCAAATCATAAAGCATCTCGAAAAGTCCAAAAGAAAAACGTAGAAAATGATCATTTTTCCAGTAATTTGTTTTGGTGATATTTCTGTTTTATTTGTGTGTTTAATTTTAGATTTTAAACTGTGACATAAATTGTATTTATAGCTTACATTCTCTACAGTGTTGGTAAAGTATCATGGACACACTTGTGCAATAAATATTTACCAGCTGTTAGAGGTCCTTCCCAAAGGCTTAGTGCCCCTCTGGCACAAATCACTGTACAGTTGTCGTCTTGGGCAGAAAGCTGATGTTGAAAATCTTGGCTAGAATTCTTTTTGCTTAACCAAAGCAAACCTGTGGAGTTTTGAATTAGTGAACCTTTTTTGTGTGATAACTGAGGTTTCTGCCTTATCCAAATTTTAATAATTCATACGGCATTTACATACTCACCAGAGGTCACCTAAAGCCATTAGCTTTTCATATATACTTCCAATAAGACACTAAATGCTTCTTTAGCTATAATCTGTATCTCTGCTCGTGTTTATTAATTTTCCATTATTTTTTCTTATTCTTGTATACAGTGAGCATACTATTTTTTCCTTAAACTTAAAGAGAAGCTCTTTTTTAAAGTATTAATTAACCTTTTGATCTGATAAACAGTTCTATTTAGGAGATTCCTTATCCCCACAAGAGAAGAAAATTGCAGCTAATAAAGATACAAAGTAAGACACATTTCCTGTAATACTTGCTGTGAATAGAGTAATAGTGAACATTTACTAATAAAGATAATGCCTTCCTCTCCCTTTGAACTGTCCTTCCTTTTAGGAAGTATTATAGTACTTTATAAAACTCAGTAAACAGATTTTTATATCTCTTACACCTGACTACTAAATGTGTAAATGTCCTTTCCTGCTTAATTTTGTATAAATCTTACAGTATTTATGAACATTCTCCAGTGCTTCTTAATGCTTCTGCATTTTAAGGACTAAATACGTGTAAATTGATAGGATAGCCATCAGGTGTTCACCTTATTTTATTTGTTTACATCTTTAAATGAAAAAGAGGGGATCGTTTATTGAGGTTAAGAAACATCATTTATGATGAAATACATATTTCATAGGTTTAAACCTAACATTGTAGTACTTGCATGAAAAGTAAGTAAGGACGAGCTCTACAGATCAAAGGTTTTTTTTCTCTAGTTTGAAATATTATGATCATACCAGTAAACTTTTTCCAGGATTTTCTGCCTATTAAACAAGAAAACAAAGACTCACTTTCAGAAAACATGGATGCATTTGAAAAAGTGAGAACAAAATTAGAAACACAGCCACAAGAAGAATATGAAATCATCAATGCAGAGGTAGGATATCTTACTTTTTTTTTCCTACATCTCATATTACCAGTCAAGATGCAAATGAAATACTTTGTTTTTTTGGGTTTTTTTTTTTTAACTTTTTTTAATGTTTATTTTATTTTATTTTATTTTATTTTTTTTTTAACATTTATTTATTTTTGAGACAGAGAGAGACAGAGCATGAACGGGGGAGGGTCAGAGAGAGAGGGAGACACAGAATCGGAAGCAGGCTCCAGGCTCTGAGCTGTCATCACAGAGCCCGACATGGGGCTTGAACTCACGGACCGCGAGATCATGACCTGAGCCGAAGTCGGCTGCCCAACCGACTGAGCCACCCAGGCGCCCCCATGTTTATTTTATTTTTTGAGAGCGAGACAGGGTATAAGTGGGGGAGGAACAGAAAGAAAGGGAGACACAGAATCCAAAGCAGGCTCTGGGGTCTGAGCTGTCAGCACAGAGCCTGACATGGGGCTCAACTCACGACCTGTGAGATCATGACCTGAGCTGAAGTCAGATGCTTAACCGACTGAGCCACCGAGACACCCCGCAAATCAAGTGCTTTGTGAATTTAGACATAAACCCACATCAAAATTAGACCTTTAAAATATGCTGAAAAACTTAAACAGAGAATAATCAGTGTGATTTTTAAAATAAACAAAGGTCAAAGTGAATTTCCAAGCTATTGTGTTAATTCTATTTTTTGGAAACAACCAGTTCTTTTTTAAAATGTTAACAATTCCAAGGAGAGGGGCACCTCGGTGGCTCAATTGAGCTAAGCATCTGACAGTTGACTCTTGATTTTGGCTCAGGTCATGACCTCACAATTCTTGAGTTTAAGCTCTGCATCAGCACAGAACCCACTTGGGATTCTCTCTCTCCTTCTCTCTGCCCCCCTGTGCATATGCGTGCACTCTCTCTCTATCCGTCTCAAAATAAACTTTAAATTAAAAAATAATAATAATTTCAAGGAAAAGTTCATATGAAACCATCATGTTTTTATTATTTGAAAAGTATCTGATTGCCCTGTCTACACTTTTTTTAATAAAAGGAATTCACTTGAAGTAGTATAATACCACAAAAGTCAAGTATTTGATCTTTTATGGTTACCACAGTCATATTCAGTTGAAACAGATTGAACATGCATGTTGCAAATTTCCCAGTAAGACTGGAAAGTAGAACCACAACTTATAAATGAAAATCATATTCATAGGAGAATGGAAATAGCAGTAGGTTAAAAATCTGGAATCCAGATTCAGAATATGCCATTTACTAGCAGGTGATAAATGCATCTTAGACTACCTGAAATCCTGTCGATCAGTCAGTTGCATTTAATATGTAGGTATTAGACAAGAGCACTATTTGTATATTGAGTAATATTCTCTCGATCTCAAATTGTGTATATCTGTCAACCTGGAAGATGCTTTGTGTGAAATCAAATCAAAACCATGGACAGTTGGTAGTGACTGCATACTTAGAGGAAAAGAATCTCAGCAAGTTTTTGACCGGATTTTCAGAGTAGTCTGAGCCATAATTTCTTCATCTGCCTCATTTTGGATTACCTTAAAGCTGCATTCAATCTTTATTAATGGAATCCCACCATAGGGATGTCAGATACTCCCAAATATACCTAAAGTGATTTATACAGTCATAAGAACCGACATAGATTTTGTTACGCCTTCTCTTTGTTGCCTCCTACATTTATATGTTAGAAACTTCAGTGATTATGAATGTATGAAAACCATATCTTAACCACTGTGTTGTAAAAAGTGATCCATTTTGTATTTGTTATGTGTTCATCCATAGACTTCAGTAGGTCTACTGAAGATTTCATTTCTTCATTTTAAATGGTCAGATCATTAAACAATTAAATTGTGTTTAAATAATTATGAAATAAATCATTTGTTTCTTTTTTGTCAGGTGAAGCATGGTGGTTTTGTTTATTATCAAGAAGGTTGCTGCTTGGTTCGTTCCAAAGATGAAGAAGGTACACCACAGTTTTCCCATTTTTATTTTTTAACATACTCTGATTTTTTATACTTTACATATTTCATAGGAAATTTGGTATTAATTTCTTAAAGGTATAGAAAAAATTTTTTTAGATTATTTCTGCATTTAAAAAAAAATAACTAGTTAGTATCTGGGTTTACTTAAGATATAGTTAACAGGTACATCCAAAAGCTTTGGTGGGGAGAATGGAGGTGGGAACCAGCATTTTTTTTAATATCTCCTATATTAATTCTGTTGAAATAATAACCCTTTAGGTTCTATATGATCTATAAATACTAGACTATATATCAAATAATATCACATAGGCTAATGTGTGGAATAACACTGAATAGCATAGGACAATAATAAATAACAAAATGCCAGTTTCTATGCAAATAAAGCTGTTATCAAGGCTGAAGGAGGCTGGATTGTATCCTCTTCTAGAAGGGGAATGCTAATTCAAAACATTGAAATACTAAAGATTTTTTTAACTACATTGTGGAGTTATCACTTTCATACTTGTCTTTATACAGCAGATAATGATAATTACGAAGTTTTATTCAATTTGGAGGAACTTAAATTAGACCAGCCCTTCATTGATTGTATCAGAGTTGCTCCTGATGAAAAATATGTAGCTGCTAAGATAAGAACTGAAGATTCTGAAGCATCTACCTGTATAGTTGTGAAGCTAAGTGATCAGCCTGTAATGGAAGCCTCTTTCCCAAATGTGTCCAGTTTTGGTAAGCTACCAAACAAAACAGTCTTCTGTGTTATGACAACTGTAAGAGAATTGTCAGCACTTTTGAAACGTTTTTACTTGTCCATGTGAGTGAATAAGAAAGTGAATGCCTAATCCTTTTATCCCTATGGACCCAAAGCTTCCTGTGTGTCTCTCATTCAGGAGACCTTGCCTTCCTTAATTATATATCCAAATTCATGTTCATGTTTTTTAAAGTACTACAACCAGAATCCAGGCTGTACAGTTTATTTTGATATATCAATAATTCTTTGCAAATTTATTACCTCAGATACATTTTTGCACATAAGTTGTATCTTAATATGTTACTGAACTTTAATTTTAGGTATCTATTTTTTTAATTTCACGTTATCTTGTCAACTATTAGAGCAAATTGCCCAAGGTCACTACCGAGAAACTTTGGAAGATGTTGAGCTAACTAACTCACTAATAGAATTTGTCATATTTTTACTAGTAGAGCCAACTTTAAATTTTCTCTTTTATTGGGGCACCTGGATGGCTCAGTTGGTTAAGCGTACAGCTTCAGCTCCAGTCATGATCTCACCATTCTGAGTTTGAGCCCCGAGTCAGGCTCTCTGCTGAGAGCCTAGAGCCTGTTTCAGATTCTGTGTCTTCTCTCTGCCCCTCCTCCCCTCATGCTCGCTCACCCTCTCTCTCTCTCTCTCTCTCTCAAAAATAAGTAAACATGAAAAATTTTTTTTTAATTTTTTAATTTTACCTTTTATCATTGAGTGATACATATGTTCATAGTTTATCTTCCTTTTTCATTTTCTACTTTAATTTTCCCCATTGTTTAATAACTAAGTGCTTTTGCTGCGAATTGAAATTTTAGTCTAATTGATTCTTAGATTTACAATTTTGCACATTTTAACCTCTTTAAAAACCAAGATCCATATTATACAATGATGTCTTACAGTTACTGTCAGCCAGGTGGCAGTCATGATGTAATCGTGTGAAAACTTCCATTGACAGCTTCTGGTAAGAGCAAGAAAACTCCAGCATTAAATGTATTAAATGAGATATCCTATGGCTTGAAAGCAGACAGGAAAGAGGCATGAGAGAAAGTGATCTGGTATTTCTTCAGACTTAAAGTTAGGGGTTGTAGATGGAAACAATTCATCCCATGTAAGCTGTGACTCTGAAAATACTAAACATTCAACTCTTATTCAGAAACCTGGGACTGAGAACTGCTCGAAACCTTGGAACTGATGTGGCAGTATTTTATTTTCTGGAAAGCTCTCTGACTTATTTTGGTGACCACGATCAAACCTGTGTTCAATTTACGTTTCCAGGGATGAACTTGTGCATCTCTTTTTTGAGGAAACTCAAAATTTGAATGCACTGTGCCCTTTTTTTCAACTTCGAGTAGTATGTAATGTCTATAAATCTTTAATTATTTTCTTTCAGAATGGGTAAAGGATGAAGAAGAGGAAGATGTTTTATTCTACACCTTCCAGAGGAACCTTCGCTGTCATGATGTGTATCGAGCAACTTTTGGTGATAACAAACGTAATGAACGTTTTTACACAGAAAAGGACCCAAGGTACTAGAACAATGAAATTAAATTTTTTCCTCCAGGGTTTATCTCCAGTTACCTAAAGTGCAGTTCTTGATTGACATAAGATGTTGATTTCAGCTGGAACCAGGTGTAATAGGGAAGATAAGCATAATCGTTCTTTTATTAGTTGTTTGGATTCAAAATTGGAATATGGATCTATTCAAACTCCAGAGTGAACACAAATATACCAGTACACTGCATATGCTAAGTTGCTTACGTTGTCTTGGGACTGTGACATATGAGGAGAGTTGTTAAGTCTTTAATTGGGTTGTCATACTGCGTTTCTAGATCTCTTATAAACCATAGAATATGGTTCTATAAACTAGAATGCCATGGTGTCAATTGCACAGAATTCACTACATTTCATATAGATGATCTTTCATTTAAATTCTATTGCTTTGAGCCACGATGTCCACTGGTGTTTAAATTTTACTCTCTCCAGTATTTTGATAATTGCTTCTTAAAACTAATTCTCTTTGGGGCACCTGAGTGGCTTAGTCGGTTAAGTGTCTGACTTTGGCTCAGGTCATGATCTTACAGTTCGTGAGTTCGAGCCCCGTGTCAGGCTCTGTGCTGACAGCTCAGAGCCTGGAGCCTGCTTTGGCTTCTGTGTCTCCCTCTCTCTCTCTCTGCCCCTCGCACTCTGTCTCTGTCTCTCTCAAAAACAAACAAACGTGCATGCATGCATGCATACATACATACCTACCTACATAAAACTATAAAAGTAATGCTCTTTACTCCTTGTAATCCAGGACTCATGTCTTATACTCAGCAAGCATGAGAGGAAATGACAGTAAGTTTATCTGGCAAAATCCCATTATTCTTACCCAAATACACTTTTCCAAATGACTTACTAGAAACAGATTTTTGCTTGACACCAGGTCCTGTCACCTTATATGTCAATTAACGGTACAGTTTGGACAGTGTCTGAACAGAAAAAAAAAAAAAAGATTTTTTTTTTTTAATTTTTTTTTTTCAACGTTTATTTATTTTTGGGATAGAGAGAGACAGAGCATGAACGGGGGAGGGGCAGAGAGAGAGGGAGACACAGAATCGGAAACAGGCTCCAGGCTCTGAGCCATCAGCCCAGAGCCTGATGCGGGGCTCGAACTCACGGACCGCAAGATCGTGACCTGGCTGAAGTCGGACGCTTAACCGACTGCGCCACCCAGGCGCCCCCCAAAAAAAAAAGATTTAACACCAAATCTATGTCAGTGAAATTGATACTCAAAACAAGAAAATTAACCCATCATTTCATGAAATGTCAAAACTGACAGGGATGTAATGAAAATCTTGTACAGTCCCCAGTTTATATTGAGAATTTGAGATCTGAAGAAGTTCCATTTTTCCAGCCCATAGAACTAACATTGTTGGCCTCGTGATGCTGCCCTTGCTTTTTTTTTTTTTCTGATGATGATTGTTTTGATGAGAAATTACTAGAACTATTCATATGATTCCACTATTATTTTCTTTTTTTATATAATACTATTGTCAAATTGGTTTCCATACAACACCCAGTGCTCATCCCAACAGGTGCCCTCCTTAATGCCCATCACCTCTTCCCCTCTCCCCCACCCCCCATCAACCCTCACTTTGTTCTCAGTATCCAAGAGTCTCTTATGGTTTGCCTCCCTCCCTCTCTCTAACTTTTTCCCCCTCTTCCCTCCCCCCATGGTCTTCTGTTAAGTTTCTCAAGATCCACATAAATGAGTGAAAGCATATGCTATCTTTCTCTGACTGACTTATTTCACTTAGCATAATACCTTCCAGTTCCATCCACATTGCCGCAAATAACCAGATTTCATTCTTTCTCATTGCCAAATAGTATTCCATTGTGTATATAAACCACATCTTCTTTATCTATTTGTCAGTGGATGGACAGTTAGGCTCTTTCCATAATTTGACTATTGTTGAAAGTGCTGCTATAAACATTGGGGTACATGTGCTCCTATGCATTAGCACTACTGTATCCCTTGGGTAAATTCCTAGCAGTGCTATTGCTGAGACATAGGGTAGATCTATTTTTTTTATTTTTTGAGGAACCTCCACAGTTTTCCAGAGCAGCTGCACCAGCTTGCATTCCCACCAACCGTGCAAGAGGATTCCTGTTTCTCCACATCCTCCAGCATCTGTAGTTTCCTGGTTTGTTCATTTTAGCCACCTTGACCGGCATGAGGTGGTATCTCAGTGAGGTTTTGATTTGTATTTCCCTGATGAGTGATGTTGAGCATCTTTTCATGTGTCTGTGGCTATCTGGATGTCTTCTTTGAAAAAGTGTCTATTCGTGTCTTCTGCCCATGTCTTCACTGGCTTATTTGTTTTTCAGGTGTGGAGTTTGGTGAGTTCTTCATAGGTTTTGGATACTAGCCCTTTATCCAATATGTCATTTGCAAGTATCTTTTCCCATTCTGTCGGTTGCCTTTTAGTTTTGTTGATTGTTTCCTTTGCAGTACAGAAGCTTTTTATCTTGATGAGGTCCCAGTAGTTCATTTCTCCTTTTAATTCCCTTGCCTTTGGAGATGTGTCGAGTAAGAAACTGCTGCAGCTGAGGTCAAAGAGGTTTTTTTCCTGCTTTCTCTTCTAGGGTTTTGATAGTTTTCTGTCTCATATTCAGGTCCTTTATCCATTTTGAGTTTATTTTTGTGTATGCTGTAAGAAAATGGTCTAGTTTCATTCTTCTGTCCAGTTCTCCCAGCACCATTTGTTAAAGAGACTGTCTTTTTTCCATTGGATACTCTTCCCTGCTTTGTCAAAGATTAGTTGGCCATACATCTGTGGATCCAATTCTGGGTTCTCTATTCTATTCCACTGATCTATGTGTCTGTTTTAGTGCCAGTACCATACTGTCTTGATGATTACAGCTTTGTAGTAGAGGCTAAGGTCTGGGATTGGGATGCCTCCCACTATGGTTTTCTTCTTCAGTATTACTTTAGCTATTTGGGGTCTTTTGTGATACCATACAAATTTTAGAATTGTTCATTCTAGCTTTGAGAAGAATGCTGGTGCAATTTTAATTAGGATTGCATTGAATGTGTAGATTGCTTTGGGTACTATTGACATTTTAACAATATTCTTTCAATCCATGAGCATGGAACGTTTTTCCATTTCTTTGTATCTCCTTTAGTTTTCTTCATCTCCTTTAGTTTTCTTCATAAGCTTTCTATAGTTTTCAGCATATAGATCTTTTACATCTTTGGTTAGCTTTATTCCTAGGTATCTTATACTTCTTGGTGCAGTTGTGAATGGGATCAGTTTCTTTATTTGTCTTTATGTTGCTTCATTATTGGTGTATAAAAATGCAGCCAATTTCTATACATTGATTTTGTACTCTGACTTTGCTGAATTCATGTATCAGTTCTAGCAGACTTCTGGTGGAGTCTGTCAGGTTTTCCATGTAGAGTATCATGTAGTCTGCGAAAAATGAAAGTTTGACTTCTTTGCCAATTTTGATGCTTTTAATTTCATTTTGTTGCCTGATTGCTGATGGTAGGACTTCCAACACCATGTTAAGCAACAGTGGTGAGAGTGGACATCCCTGTCGTGTTCCTGATCTCAGGGGGAAAGCTCTCAGTTTTTCCCCATGGAGGATGATATTAGCTGTGGGCTTTTCATAAATGGCTTTTGTGATGTTTAAGTATGTTCCTTCTATCCCAACTTTCTTGAGGGTTTTTATTAAGAAAGGATGCTGTATTTTGTCAGATGCTTTTTCTGCATCTATTGACAGGATCCTATGGTTCTTTTATTAATGTGATGTATCACGTTGATTGATTTGCGAATATTGAACCAGCCCTGCATCCCAGGAATGAATCCCACTTGATCATCGTGAAGAATTCTTTTTATATGCTGTTGAATTCGATTTGCTACTATCTTGTTGAGAATTTTTGCATCCATATTCATCAGGGATATTGGCCTGTAGTTCTCTTTTTTTTGCTGGGTCTCTGTCTGGTTTGGGAATCAAAGTAATGCTGGCTTCACAGAATGAGTCTGGAAGTTTTCCTTCTATTTCTGTTTTTTGGAACAGCTTGAGAAGGATAGGTATTAACCGCTTTAAATGTCTGGTAGAACTCCCCAGGGAAGCCATCTGGTCCAGGACTCTTATTTGTTGGGAGATTTTTGATAACTGATTCAATTTCTTCACTAGTTATGGGTCTGTTGAAATTTTCCATTTCCCCGTTTGAGTTTTGGTAGTGTGTGGGTGTTTAGGAATTTGTCCATTTCTTCCAGGTTGTCCAGTTTGTTGGCATAAAATTTTTCATAGTAATCCCTGATAATTGCTTGTATTTCTGAGGGATTGGTTGTAATAAATCCATTTTCATTTGTGATTTTATCCTCTCTCTTTTCTTTTTGAGAAGCGTGGCTAGAGGTTTGTCAATTTTGTTTATTTTTTCAAAAAACCAACTCTTGGTTGCATTGATCTGTTTTTTTGGATTCTATATTATTTCTGCTCTGATCTTTATTATTTCTCATCTTCTTCTGGGTTTGGGGTGTCTTTGCTGTTCTGCTTCTGGTTCCTTTAGGTATGCTGTTAGATTTTATATTTGGGATTTTTCTTGTCTCTTGAGATAGGCCTGGATTACAATGTATTTTCCTCTTAGAACTGCCTTTGCTGCATCCCAAAGGGTTTGGATTGTTGTATTTTCATTTTCATTTGTTTCCATATATTTTTTAATTTCTTCTCTAATTGCCTGGTTGACCCATTAATTCTTCAGTGGGATGTTCCTTAACCTCCATAATTTTGGAGGTTTTCCAGACTTTTCCTATGGTTGATTTCAAGTTTCATAGCATTGTGATCTGAAAGTGTGCATGGTATGATCTCAGTTCTTTTATATTTATTGAGGGCTATTTTGTGATGCAGTATGTGATCTATCTCGGAGAATGGCCCATGTGCACTCAAGAAGAAAGTATATTCTGCTGCTTTGGGATGTACAGTTCTAAATCTATCTGTCAAGTCCATCTGGTCCAATATATCGTTCAGGGCCATTGTT